ACTTGGGACTTTGTTTCAGTAGTGACAAGCCTAATTTGGTGGGGTTCTTAGATATGGCTAGAAACATTGATTCCAGGAGGTCCATCATGGGTTATGTGATAAAATTTTTAGGGAAGAGTAGTGACTTGATAATCTAAGTTACAAATGTGTGTAGCTTTGTCAACTACAAAGGTAGAATTTATTGTCATGACTAAAGCATGTAAGGAGTTGCTATGAGTGAAGAAATTCTTGTAGAAGCTTGATTTTGTTCAAGAAAGGTATATACTATTTGTGGATAATCAGAGTGCTATTCATCTTGGTAAGAATTCAACTTTTTATTTTAGGTCAAAACATATGTATGTGAGGTATCATTGAATACGAGATGTTTTGGATACTAAGTTGTTGGAGTTAGCCAAAGTTCATACAAATGATAATGGTGCTGATATGATGACTAAAGTGTTATCAAAAGTTTGAAGTTTATTGTGAGATCATCAATTTATAGGTTATCTTCACATAGTTGTGAAGGAGGAGAATTGTTAGATTTTTGGGCTTCTTTCCTAACTGGAGAAAGGCCACATATGTTGGTCTGCTATGTCTCACTAAAATTATGGAGAGGGGTCAGATAGGGTATAAAAAGAGAGATTTTCTATGGCAAAACATTGAGAGAGAAAAGAGAAAGAAAACCCCTTGTTCTTTTCGCACATCACTAGAGCATTATTTTTCAGCTTGCAATTGTGGCTTCCGTCACCGTTGGATCAAGCTGATTTTTGACATCAGGTTTGTAACACATGAATATTTATTTTGTCTAGTTGGATCATTGAGAAAACATTTGGAGAGAGAGAAACATATATTGCGATTTCGTGCTCTGCAATTGAGTTTTTTCATCTTCTTGCTTCTTGTTTTTGAGCATTGGTGCTTTGTTTGTTTTAACTATTTGTAAGCACAATTTGTACACTCATTGAAGACTTTCTTGTACCTTTTATTGATCATAATGGATTATTTCTTTGGTCTAGATGACTCTTGATTTTTTACCCTTACTGTGAGGGGTTTTTTCACATTAACAATTGTTTGTCTCCTATATTTTGTGATTCTATTTTTGCTCTATTTTTATTGGTGCTCCTCACTGATTTTTGCAAGTTTGGAGGAATATTTTTCCACTACTTATTGCTCTCCTATTGTGTTTGTGTTATTGTATTGATATTCCCCATCGTCTCTGGAGAAAAATAGAGATGTCTCCTATGTTACCCATACCATGTGAAAGTAGAAATGTAATTTTATAAAGCCACTCAGTCTGAATGTTACATGAAGAACATAAGTCAAACGAAGAAACAAAAAGACTTCAGATATAAGAGATCATAATATGAATCCTCTATATTCTCATGTGGTACTTGATTGTGGGATATATATAAGAATTCTACTATATATATAAGATCCATTTCTATAGATATCATCATCTACATCAAGAAAATCATATGCTTTGAAAAAAGCTTGTATAGTTTAGGAAAAGGGTTTTGATTAATAAAAAAGAAGAATATACTTCAATCGATATGCCCTTAGGCATGACCATACATTACATAGAAATCACACTTGGAAATGGTGCACAATTAGTTAGAGTAGCATGTGCTATAGCAAAATTGATTGCAAAAGAGAAAAAATTGGCCGCATTAAAATTATCTTTTGGAGAGGTTTGTTTGATATCCAAAAACTACTTGGCAACATCCAGAGAAGTGGGAAATATTGGGGTAAATTAAAAAAGTTTGGGTTGATCCAGATCTAAATATCTAAATGTTGGTAGGTAAATGTCAAAGGAGTCGTTATAAAAACCTGTAAACTATCCCTGTGGGAGTGATGAAGGGAGGACCCCAATTTGTAGAAAAAATTCGCAACTTCTTAAGATTATCTTGCACTTGAAAGAAGTAGATAAGGAAATAAATATAGGAATAATTTGATTCTTTGTCATCGTAGTAACTGTCATGCTTATTATAAAAAAAAAATTCTTTTGAATGTTTGTTTTCTATGTCTATTTTTTTTATTTTAATTTTTTTAATGGGCAAACAATAGGAATTGAACCGTGCATTTAATGAATTGTACCTTGATACACTTGGCTACATTTGCCCTTATTCGTATACTATAGAAAAAAAATTACTATATCAAAATTACTAAAGAATGTTGAAGTGAATAAAAAATGAATATATGTATTAATATTTATAAATATTAAAACTATTAATAAAAGTAAAGAAAAAGAGTAATATCAAGAGAGTATATGTTACTCTTTACTTTCAAAACTTGTAATTTTTCATATTTAAATTTATCCATTTATAGATGGAGTTTTGATCGTAGCTAGATTTAGAGGGATATTATGAGAATTACATTCATGCATTACTTCCATACCAAGGTTAGCCCAATTAGTCTAAGTATTAATTACACGACCTTCACTATTAAGGATGGATTGATTGAAATTGAAACCATTTAAATTGAAAGTCATAGTGCTAAACCAAATATCTATTATAGGCAAAGCAACCGGAAGAAATGTGAAGTTCAAAATTGTTGAAACTTGTATATTGAAAGATCAATTGGCTAAAATAACTATGAACAACTACATTATTTAGGTTTCTTCGTCTTGATCGAATTTGTAACTTTTGTTAGTAGATTCATTTTTTGTGGTTTTCCTTATCAAACTATATGTTACCAAAGAATCTTGTATAACAATGAATAGGAAGCCGTCGAATACAGCTGCTATACCTAACATATGAAATGAATGCATAATAATATTATGCCCAAGAAATACAATTTTAAAATTGAAAGTACCAGAAATTCCTAAAAACATACATTCAAAAAGCTTTCCTGATCAATCGAATAAAAGAAAATAGTAGTAGTCCTGCAATGGGAGCTGAATATGCAATAATAAGGACACATGCTTAAGATGAAAATTAAGTTCTCATTCCCACTCTCAAGCCATGTAACAAGCTACACCAAGTAAGAAATCTAGAATAATTAGTTCATAAGGACTGTCATTGCAGCCATAGTAAAAATCTTGGTTCATTTAATCATAAAGAACTCCCAAGCACACAAATTTTCTATAACTAGATAATTTAAAAGCTTGCTTTTCACTAGTATAACATGACTTACATACCATTATCAACCAATACCAATATTCATAATACACTCTTATTCATCTAGATTTATCTGATTTTTCTTTTTATTCCATTTCATTTGTTCAAAAAATGAGTTTTCTAGATATCATTATAGTATGTACATATAATTTTCATATATTAATTATTTGATATATTAATTAAAAATTGGTTATCCAGACTCAAAAACAGAACTATTTGGTGGAAGTAAATAATTTATTTTTTAAATCAAATTCAATACAATAATAAAATAAGAAAAAGATATCTCCCTAAGCCGTGCTTAAATTTTTCATTGCACATAACTTTCCTTGTGTATACATATAACCTAAATAAATTCTCTAGGACAAGATTATAAGAAAATAAAATATTCAAACCCCAAATCCTAACTTTTTTTACATGACCATTTTAAAATTTTATTGAGATAAAATACTAATAAAAATAAAATTCATTTATTTATCTTCACTTAATGATAATTTTGATAAATTCATTTACAAAGCATCATAACTATTTATAAATGGTTGATTAGATCAAATTGTGGCTAAAAAGAATATTCAAATTCCAAAGTCGATTTATAACTTATGTAAAGTAGAAGTTCTTGGAAAGATCAAAGAAAAAATATCTTCTTTCAAAAATAATTCTTCCAATTCTTAAAAAGAAAATAAAAATACGTATAGTATTTTTATGTTTATGAGCTAAAGTTTTAATACATTTTTTTTAGGATATAATTTAATAATGTTTTTTTTTTGCATATTTGCAAAAATAGATCATATCAAAATCTAATAAATCAGTCCAAATAGATTACAAAATTTTACTTTAACTAATGATTTAATGAGAAGTTTAATTTGAACTCTTGTATCAATTTTTTTTTTGTAACAATTTCCTTTTAGAATTTGTCATACTACATTATACATTATATATATATATATATATATATTTCATTTAATTTATAATTTACTTTTTAATCAATTTTCTTTCAATAGAAAAAAAAAAAAGCTTCTTATTTATATTGTAGAAAATCTATTGAACCACCGTTTAATGAAGTAAAAAATGTCTATATGACTTTAGTAAATCAATTTATTTATTCACAATTAGATTATATTTGTTTGATATTGTTGTCAATATTAATCTTGAAAAAAAGAATATAATAAAAAAATAAAGAAATTAAAATTTAAAAATGAAATAATAATATTATATTAATATATTTTTTATATTTTTAATTCTATTATTATTATTATTCAATTATGTAATTATTTTATTAATATTATGTTATAATTATTTTTTATAATAAATAAAAATTATATTCTATTGAAAACTAAAAACCTATAAAAATATGATAGAAAAATAATATAAAAAATTTAATATAAAATATATATATATATATAAAATAAAAAAGCAATAATTATTTTTGTCAAAACATTATCTTATTATTGTATTCTGCCCAATCTTTTTAAAAAAAAGATTGAATTGAGTTTAATTGCAATTAATTATTAATAGAATAAACAATAATTATTGGATTACAATCCGTACTTTCAAGCAAGAGCTAAGTTCACTTCCTTTTATCTTACACACTTCAAGAGCTACTCAATTAGCTACACACCAAGTGTATTTCCATAAGGGTGTCCTAAAGTATATTAGAGTAGGTAATTATCTCCAAATATTTCAGTGAGAAGAGACGAACGTGATTATCTCCCGAAGTAAAGTAACAAAATATCTTCTAATGCGCACCCTATATAGCATGATTTAACTATAATACGGATATTTGTATGTCTCTGTAATTTCATCAAAATATCTCGAGGACTCTTCTAATTTTGAGTTGTATATATGTGTCCTTTTGTTGGTAAGATATATTTCCAATTTCATTAAATTTTAACAATTCGTTATATTTTTCAGTGAGGAGGAGATGCTGAAGGAGATCGGTGACCTTATGAATGAGAGTCATTATAGCTGTAGTGTTTTGTATGAATGCAGGTACTAACACCAAATACTAAGTTTCAGAATGCAGTCTCTCTTGTTTATGAAGATCATGTATTTTTTATTACGTGTGGGCTAATAGACATGATTTGGTGTTTGTGTGAGCTTTTTCAAACTTTAAATCAGTGGTTAAATATTGTTTCTTGTGCAATGTCATCTTATTAATTTTCTTCATTTTAAACAACAAAATATTTTTTTCCTTGTTCATGGAATCAGTTGTTCAGAGTTGGAGGAGCTCATCAAAATTTGTCGCCAAAATGGTGCACTTGGGGCAAGACTTACTGGAGCTGGATGGGGTGGTTGTGCTGTTGCTTTGGTTAAAGAGAGCATCGTTCCACAATTTATCCATAATTTGAAGGTTTGCTTTTTCTACTTAACAATCATAGTTAGACATTGGACTAAGCTTAGTTAATGATAGATTCTAAATCTATATCAGGAACGTTTCTATCAGTCTAGGATCGACAAGGGTGACATCAGCAAGAATGATCTTGACCTTTATGTATTTGCCTCCAAGCCTTCCATTGGTGCTGCCATTTTCAATATATCAATTCCTTGATCTTTTTAACTTTCCAAGGCTGAAAACATGATGCAATAATCTCTGATAGAACAAAATTTCAGTTCGTGTGACATTACTTCTCATATTTCAAACCAATAATTAACTTAAAGGGAACAATGTTGTTGCCAGTTAGCAGTGTAGTCAGCTTATGTTATGATATAGAAGAGCTATGTATCATCATAGCTTCTTGATACTTTGTAATTCCTGCTAGAACCATGGGGATCCAGCCAAAATGTCTCTCCATAAGGTAATAAACACATTCAATGCTTGAATTGTGAGTCGTGAAAAATTTTCTCCGCAAATTAAACTCTAGCCAAAAGCCCACAAAAACTGTGAACTCCACTTTCCAGTGATATGATGTTTTTTCTTTATTATTATTATTATTTCTTCCCCAATCGTGGATATTGAAACTCACTGGATCTAATTAGTAAAAAGTAAAAGTAAACAATCCTTTTAATGTGTTTTAAGACATGTAATAAAAATTAATAGATAATAAAATTTTAGTAAAAATAATGATATTTAATATTTTTTTTATTAAATGGGCCTTAAAAGTCCAAAAAAACACAAAGAAATTTAGGTGACCAAATTCCTAAAAGGTCTAATATTAAGAAAGACATTTAAGGAAGGAGGAGTCTCCTCAAAATAGAGAAATGGTAACCTACATTTATAGTCAATTTTAGCCAACCAATTAACACTTTGATTAGTTTGTCTTAAAATATGGTTAAATTTAATAAATTTAAATTTTTTTAGTAACTTCTTAATCTCACTAATAATAGGAAAGGTTAACAACTAAGGAGATAGCTTTCTTAGAATCACAATCAATTCATATTAATTGGATCTTCTTAGAAATAACAAGCCAGAGATTTTAGAGCTTTGCAACTACGAGAGAGCATAGATCCAAGGCTCTATAGAAACCAACAATGAACCTTCCATAATTGTGTCTAATGAAACCTCCACAGCTAGCAGTTTCAGCAGCTTAGGAAATAGTTTCATCAACATTTAACTTTAGCTGCAAGCTCATAATGGGTTGTCATTTGGTGAAGCAATCAGCTCCTTGCCAACTAGCTCCCACCTTTTGATTAGTCCTATCACAAAAAGAGAGTCAAAATCTAATTTTATTTTTGGAAAAGAGACTCACTATTACGGGGGAGTTTTGAAAGGTCTTCTTATTCCTATTAATTCATAGATTTCACACAGTTAATCCAAACAATAACTTCTAATAAGGATGCAAGGGAAAGTTGGCTTTGGATAGATTAAATTTAAGCCAGCTACTCAATCTTTTACTAAAAAACAAAAGCCAACTGTTAGGGAGGATTAGCTGGTTCCAAATCTGCCTGGTAAACTAGTAGTCCCTGAGAACATGCATTACAGTTTCAACAACAACTTTACACTTTGAATAAGCAAAAGAGTTAGACATGCCATGATTATATCTTTCATCATTAATAAGGAGTCTTTCATGGACAATTTTTCACAAGAAAACATTAATTTTAGGGGGACCAACCTAGGTTAAAGAGATTACAATGCATAATTTAATCCTGATAAAGGAGGGAGATAATATTGTAAGCAAATTTCATAGAGAAAATTCATTACCAGTAAGATTCTAGATAAATAGGTCTCATCCCCCTGTTAGTACAGGGGGATTAATTTGATTAATTGAATCACATATGTGATCAAGGAGCAGTGACTTAATCTTAACCCAATTCTAATAGCCATTATGTAACACCTTAACTTTAATTTCAAATAAATAACAATTTCGCAAACTCGAATAATAAATTCTATAAAATATTTCAAAAATGAGAGAGGGTTACAAGTTTATATCAAATAACTGTCACAAGGCTAGTTCAAATACAACAGTTTCCAATTAAATAATCCTAAGCCCTATAGCAGTTAATCCGTCCCTTCACTGAGTTTGATACTGATCGTCTTGATTACCTGAAAATGAATGTAAGGGTGAGTACTCTACACTACCAAAATACACAGTCAACTATAGAGTCTCACCTTCAAGCTACTTTAAATATACTTAGATAGGTATATGAAAATATACTCACAAGCAGCATTCCAGTATAATTTCATTTCAACTAAACATCGGTGCACTTATGGTACCCACAACATTTCATGTTCATAACACATAACATATTACACCGGCGTTGGCACGCCCCATCACAGTATTTCGTACCAGCGATTATTCGCCCCATTCACATTGTTGTACACCGGCGGCAACCCGCTCCATTCACATTGTTGTATATCGGCGCCAACCCGCTTCATTCTTTATTATATACCAGCGATTACCCGCCCTATTTTCATTATTTCATAATACACGGCACGAGGCCCACTTTCATTTATAACACACGGCACATAGCCTACTTCTATACTATTAGGCACATAGCCCATATTTATTGTATAACACAGTCCTCAGGCCCACATTGGTTCACATTATTCATTCGAAATATATGGCACAAGTGCCCATACCCATTCACAATGTTCGACATACAAGCCCAAATTCTATCACACAACATTTACATACAATCCCTATTTCTTCATTTCGGGTAAACACACAAAATATTCATGTATTACGGCAGGTGGTCCACATTATATTCCTCATAAATTTCCTATTCTCTAACTCAACCACAACACAATATTCGACAAAATAACAGCAAATCACGCACAAAAGAGTAAGGTAGAATCCCGCTTACCTTGAATTGAAGACCTACTCACGGATTCGGCCTCAAAAACGTTCCTCGCACGGATTTCTGCCTAAACACACGGGTTATTTCCATGAGAACCCAGAAATCACCCCAAAAACAGAGAAAGAGAATGAAGAATGGAACCCTAACCATTAAAACTCACCTCCAAGCATTCTCCACACGAATCCGAGCTCCAATCTCGCTCACGAACAACTTTGGAAGCAATTAATCAGTGATAAAAGGGTTTGGGGTCGAGAGAATTGAAGGAATCTAGGAGGGAAATTGAGAAAATGATTCTCAAATCTCTAAACCCTCTTTTGAAATCCCTCAAATCGCGACACTTCCACTACAGCGACGCCTTCTCGCTACAGCGAGACATCCCTCGCTGCAGCGACACCCTCTATCGCTACAACAAAAATCTTAGACGCAATTGCATTCTGGTTTCTACAAAATCTTGTTACAGCGACGCCCTCTCGCTACAGCGTGTTTGCACCCAGAAATGCAGTCCCCACTGTCGCTTTCTCGCCACAGCGAGACACCTCTCGCTACAGCGAGAAGACGACAATTTAACTTCCTTCTTCCCAGGGCCAATCCAGTCATACCCTCATAACATTCCTATATTTATTCACATGCACATATATATATACTCATACATTATTACCACACATTAAAATGCCATTCGCATTCCATCATTTTGCACTTGAGTGCACATTTAAACATTCATTCTCATATATATATATATATATATATATATATATATATATATATATATATATATATATATGACTAAACTAGCATTTTAGTCCCTGAGACATTTAAAATATCACATTAGTCCGCAACTTCTTTCTCCGTCATGCATTTTAGTCCTTGACGTTAGACCCCGTTAAGAGACCGTCACAGAAGGCTGAACTGTCACGTTAAGTGCTATGTCAGAATCACAGTTGGCAGCAACGACGTCGTTTTGGAAGTTGGCGTGGCACAAATAATTGCGAAACAATGTCGTTTACTGAAGCCCTTTTTGCCCAAATTGAATCACATATTTCCTCATTGTTGTCGAAGAACCCTATCCTAAGTCCACGCAAAATTTCACCCAAATTCTTGTTCTTAGTTCTGCTTGGGGGTGAAATATATAAAGATTGAAGTTTGTTGCAGTGAAAGAAGAGTCAACAGATGAAGAATTTGGTAAAAAAAAAATTTCTTAATTCATTGAGTCATTTTTTTGGTTTGGGGATGAAGAACCCTAACTGTTCAATATTTTAGGGACGACGAACCATAAGTGTTCAATATTTTGGAGACAACGAACCCTAGCTGTTTTCTTTCTCCTTAATCAGTGCTGACTTTCTTGATAATTGTTTCTCTATAAATGCAGACAATTAAGTTTTACATTCGATTTTAAGTTTTTCATGTGTCTTCCATTTTCAGATTGATGAGAATGTGGCTCACAAGATTATCAACCACAGGTCTCTTCGTCACCTCAATATAATTCGTTTTAAGGAGCCAAGGACTTTATTTGCTTACCTGTTGGATCACTTTGTATTAAATACTCTATATAACTAGTTATCTGATCACATTTCAATGGGGCTTTCATTTTGCAGGTGGTTTTGACCCCCACTCATTTAGCAATAGTAATGGAGTATGCACATGGAAGAGAGCTATTTGAGAGGATATGCAATTCTGGAAGGTTCAGTGAAGATGAGGTTAATCTTTGAATTTTCTGGTTTATCTCATTCTTTCGATTTTAGTGCCATTAATATTGTAGCCATATTTCACTTATTTTCTCCTTTGATTGTTTAGGCTAGATATTTCTTTCAGTAGCTGATTTCTGGTGTCCATTACTGTCATGCCATGGCATAATCATGATATCTCACTTATGCTTTTACTCTTCTTTTGCAGCAAATATGCCACAGAGATTTGAAGCTAGAAGATACCCTCTTAGATGGAAGCCCTACACCTAAGGTATTGAATTGAATAACATCTAGTTTCTATGTTCTAATAATATGTTCTTTAGCCTTTATATTTCTAAATGTTTGTTATTTGTGGTTTAGTCGTCTTTGCTTCATTCACAACCCAAATCAATTGTTGGAACTCCAGCTTATATAGCACTAGAGGTTCTTTCCAGGAGGGTAAATATCTACGTAGAATGAAGTTACTCATTACTTAGAATTGACAGGGAATTAATTGCATGAATAATAAATCAGCTAGGGACTAAATTGCATGATTTTTATTCTATTAAGGACTAAAATGAACTTCGTATTTTATTGCAGGTTTAGTTCCAGCTTTGCAAGAAGTGATGCTAGGTGCACACCATAGGTTTTGTGTGTGACATCTATGGCAAATTTCTGTAAGCAATGGAAGGATAAAGTCTTAAAGCACCTTGTATGAGAATGTGCAAGATCAACATGGACTAAGGCATACTTTAGTGAATGGCCAAAGGTGGATAACATCTATGACAATAACTGCGAGGTTTTCAACTCAAAGATTATACAC